ATTATTGGAAGCGGAATAATCACGAATGGAACAAATATGTTTTGATGCAAAAAGAATTAAAGTCGAGATGATATTACAATTTTCAAGTATGTACAATGAAAACCACATCTTTATCGGAGTACTACCGCCTGACTGTTTCACTTTTCGCTACCTATTTATGTTAGTTTTAATCACATATATTAACAAAACAAAACTTGTAATGTATACAATATTTATGATGCACCAAACGTCCAAACGTTTTGAAAAGTAATACCGGCTTATACGATCGTGAAACAAAGGTTATTAGCTTTTAAAAATGTGGTATTATCAACACTTCAAACTACGCATTATAAAAACAATCTTTTCAAAAACACAAAAATCAAAATTATTATCACATCATTAGGCATGTCATCGCTATTACCTCGGGTACTTAACTCGTTTCTGCACAGGTGTGTACAGTATCACAGACCACGAGGTACACCACGCATAAACCTATGTAGCAGCTTTAATGTACTTGTATTGTGACAATAGGCACGATGTGTGTGATGCCGAAAACACCGACGCTCGGCTAAGGATTAAAAAACTGACGCGCTTATCTCATAATATATTATTATAAGAACGCCGCGGAGATTGCGCCTGCAATAATCGTATAGGTAATACAAAACGTTATTATAATGCGTTCTTAAGAAAAAAAGAGACGAGGATAAAAAAAATGATGCGTTACAGTGCATTACGAATAATCAAACGATTTTGCGGTTTAACGCGCGTTTGTCCGTTTATATGGGCATTATGTGTGTGTGTGTGTGTGTGTATGTGTGTGTGTGATGTACGCCAAAAGAAGGCTCGTAATGCACTCACACGTACCTATAGGTTAGGTATATGACATGATCTAACATTATAACAGGACTCGGCGGCTATTGGCGTACTCGGGCATTTATATAAGAATACAAGTCGTAGGTATAATAATAGTCGTATTCGCTATTATAATACTCGTGTGCGAATTATAATATAATTTTGTTGTATATTGACTGTACCAAAACCCAAAGACGGACATTATCCCAACTTGCGGTACTTATAGGTAAGCCCATATGGATCGCTTCATGCGCGTTTCGTTGAAATCGATACAATTTTTTATTACATAATCGCACGATTATCTATATATTATAATATGTATGCAGAACCGGTATATTATTTCTATTATTATATTGTGTTTCGTATTAGTTCTTAGTTCGAACAATGTACTCATAGTATGGTTTTTATTTTTTTTTCTTATCCAGCGTATGTGTTTTTCCGTATACGATTTATTTAGTTTTTTTTTCGATAATGATTTTTAGTTTAACCGAATGCCAATATGATTTTAAATAATAAACTGACGTGCAATGTTCACATAGGTTTAAAGATTTAAAGATTAAAGCGGATAAAATATTGTTAAATATACTGTTATAGATTGAACCTCGAATTTTATGCTCTAGAAAAAAATTTGGTTTAAACTATTATAATATATCGTACTGCGTGAGTACGCTGTATTGCTCTAAGTAAACTTAACAATAAGATAAATAAATTCCTAATAGAAAACACTAGGAGTAATTTTATTATACGACACCTCAGTACAACCGAAAACGTATAATGTAAAATATATAAATTACAAACTGTCAATGGTTCTATAATACTATCATAATACAATATAAATTATTATTTAAAACGATGATTTAAAATGCATAATACCTGTCATGAAATACACCAAAATTATTGAAAACCTAAGATATTTGCATTTATAAAATTATATAAGAATCCATAGATTCTATATATCTATATAGTTTAGATATTATTTATTATATAATATACCAGAAGTCGGTGTGTATCAATCTGAGAGTTTTTGGATATTTATAAAAAGATTGCCTAAAAGTTATTAAATAATTATTGTTTTCAACGCTATTGTTAGGTCTACCTTAACTGTCTTCCGTCTTGGATTTTGCCTCCGTCAATTGGATGAACCTATTCCAAACTGGCGAATTACGAATTAAATTTTGACTTTGGTTATGAAATGTTGAAATGTCTGTAATTTGGACAGTGTATACGTCCATTAACCGTCTATCAACGCACCATTTATTTCTCCTACGAAGTCAAATAATTGATAAATAACATACAACTATATGACCGTCAGCTGTTCTTAGATTCTTCACTTATGTGTTTCTATTCGGTCTGCTTGAGTGACATTGACATTTTTAACAATGCACATTTGACAGAATACATTTAATGAATGAAAATTGACGCCGACCGACTAAACGCAAAAATTACTATTTGTTTTAATAAAAATTACGTACCTATATTATAGTCGTGGAATCTTCGAGGGAAAAAATCACAAATGAAAAACAAATTATCTTGACTGCTAAACGAATGATAATTGTAGTGTACGTGCAAATGACGGGAAACATAGTACAAAAAAAATAAAACATCGCCATAGGTTATATAATATATATATAATATGTAATAAACATTTCTTCCGATCACACACCATACGTTTTTATTCACCGCAAATAGTTTTTAATCTCGCACTGTAAATCCAACAGTACTATACTATATTACCTTTATAACTATACACAATACTTTACAATGTATAGGTAAATGGTTTTGGGAATCAAAATATTAATTTTCACACTTTAGTATAGTATCTCATATTTGTATGTTCTGATGCCATTTCAATTTTTTCCCATCACATTTAACCGGCAACAGATAAATATTCCATTAAAAAAATCTAAATTTACTTGCGAGACATTCCTCAGGGAAGTCGCGCACGATGACCGTCCATGTACGCCTCATACAATACCTCTGTGTATACTGCATTAGTTAAAGGATTTAATTGATTTAAGTTTAAAATACAGTAATAAAACTATAAAAGATGTATAAAATCTTACTAGAACCAAAATAAATTGTATAAAAAATTTAAGGAGCGCTTCGGAGGTTTTCTCTGTGTTATTTATTAATCCTTGCCACAATTATGAGCACAGCATATATATTATAGATTTCTACACTCCTACATATAATATATATATTTTACTTCTTTATCATTTTTTATCACTACCTACGCTATACATTTGTTTATATTACATGTAATTAGTTACATTTAATGTTCAAATCCTCAAATTTGAATACTTTTCATTATATTCAATATAGTAAACGCCACGCTGTAGGTACTTTATGTTTATAAAAAATAAAAGTTTATATTTTGACACTCAAGTTAATATTTTCCTCATACGTAGTTCTATTGGAATTATTTACCTCTGACGGTAAATTTCAATATTAAATGTTGTACCGTTCTAGAAAGTTAATAGGAAACAATAGTTCATCGATATTACCTAGGTATACTGTTTATACAGAATATATTATACGCACGAAATAAAACATTTTTATATAAAATACGCTTTTTTCACTAAAATATAATATGAAATCAAATATCGGACTTAGCTACAGATAACAGATACAACTGCGGCTGAAATCGTAACTGAGTTGTTTTGATTGTAGTGAACTTTTAGTACCTATATCATTATAGTTGTATTCCGAGGTATCGCCAGTCCCGTCGCGTACGCAACCATTTACTACGCGAGTCGTCGTCGTAAATATCCGAGTCCAGTGATCCTCCTGAGCGGTAAACGCCCTCTCCACGCGCACTGCAGTCCTCAGCAGGTCGTCCGCTCGGCCGACATTCCGACACACAACTCGCGACGAATAAAATATAATAATTATTGATTACAATTTATAAAAATACACTATATTATTATAATAATTAAAGTAATGTGTATACGTAAATATTTTATTTTAATATAATAAAATAATTTATAATACATCGACGGGCGGTCGTGGATTATTAGAGAATGGGCATCAATTCATTCTATTGCGATGTACCGGGATAAAGAGTCGCTATATCGGCGAATATTTTTATCAATCTATAACCTGCTATTATCCATGCTGGAAAACAATTAATTATTTGTAGGTACGTTTGGACTCTATCGTTTTTTTTTCGATTTAATTTCCTATTTATGTTTAGGAGCCGAGGTGGCAGATTAGGTAGGGTCACTGCGTTGAGCGACTAACTATCGACATTTGTTTTTCATTTATGTTGATAGGTAGTTTTTGAAATAATGAGTGCCTATATACAACAATACACTGTAACCGTAGCAGCTTATGGAGAGCCTGTAATATAGTATAAATGAGTATAGGCTCACTTTAGGTTTATTTATTATAATAATATACTAATATACGACTAGACAGACTATAGATTCTGAATTTCACATTACATAAGTATAATATGCACGCATGCAGTTCTGTGACGGGACATCTTGATGACCCTGTTTAGCCAGGTCATGCGTGTATAGTTACTGCCGCGATAAGCGAAAACAGGATAACTTCAGTTAACATGATTATTGAGAAACACCAAATAACGTTTTCAACAGTAAATCAAGCCTAGAAAGAGTGTTTATTCAAAAAATTGGTCAAACCTTGTGCAGATATATCTAATTTTACATCTAGTATTGGTTGAACACTTTTTATTTTAACTTTATTGAATTTTTTAAGGAGAAAATGGACTTATTGTAAAATCAATATCGGACTAACTAAGCGAAAAATTGATAACTCCATAATAATGGACTTACCGGGTTATTACTTAGACTTTTTTGGATATACCATATTTAAGTCTATGATCATACAACATTGTTTGTATGTAAAAAAATGTGTAACTCCAATTTTATCAAACAAATAATTTTAATTTTTTTCATTATAAAAATTATTACAAAATAATTAGACTTTTATTTTAGTATATTAAATATTTAAAAAACAAAATAAAACAATACCTTTTAGGTGGTCATCACCAAAAACAATTAAAATAAATGAAATCTTAAACAACAAAATAAATATTTTTTTAGTATAAACTTTACTGTTAAAAATAAAATGAAACAAAATTTAAATTTATGTTAACAATATTGGTTCCTATCACAATATTATATATCACATTACTTTTGCAGTTTCTAATTTTCAGGTTCTTCATATAAATCATTAACTGTATCTGATGTAGGAATATCAAACCAAAATTGTTGTCTACTCTTTGGCATGAGCGGGACTAGTGTTTTTATAATACTTTGTTTTTTTTCCGGATGAATATCCCTTAATTCATTTTTTTGTTGAGGTTTTTCAATATCTTTTTTAATGAATGATAGTTTTAAGAAGTCAAGCATTTGGTACGGAGTATACTCATCATATGTACATTTGAATAATAAGTATTTCAGTCCTCTTTCGGCCCTTATATGAACTATACTATTCAACATTGGGCGATTAATTTGTTTGTTTAGTTTATACAAACTACAAAGAGCATTCTGACTTCCAATCATAAAAATCTTTGCCATCTAATACTTTAACATCTACATGGCCTTTATTTGAATTCTTTATTGATTTTTCATAATCACAAAAGTCATATATTTTACCCATATGTTTCATGGAAAGTTCAATCTGATGGTGGAATGAATCCGCAGACATAAAGCTATGGCCTGGTTGAAAATCGTATTTTCGTAGATCGTATTATCATGATAATAAATGAATGATAAGGATAAATAGGTACAGTGATGTCGAGACCATAATTATATTCTTAACAATATCAGTTTAGTAAATTACAAAATAATATAGCAAATAATCATTGTTTTTAATTTATAAAATGTGACTAAATGTTGTGTCATGTACATACCCTTTTTTTGTAACGTAAGCCAAAACACGGTAACTCCATTCTTTTTCATGTGATATACCGAGTTTTTGCTTAGTATTTGGATTTACCGTGTTTTCGTTTAGAAAACATCAAATATACTGGACTTACCGCATATTTGCTTATTTTAAATTTCATTTTAAGATGGGTTTTAATAGGAAATACGCTATTTTTACATCAAAAATCGGCGTAAAACCACTAATTTTACCTATAGTAACAAAAATCTCATTTTTACGAAAAATGGAGTTATCCTGTTTTCGCTTAGCACGGCAGAGTATATATAACGATGAGGAGGCCCGAGATGAAAAATGTTTTCAATTTCTTTTCCAAGAGAACCAAGTTTGACTTTCGAAAACCCCTGCGCAGAGACGAGTACGTATATATACAAATTTAAAACCTTAGTATTTACGACAAAATGAGCTGTATTGTCATGTTAATCTATTGCAGTGTACCTATACTTTTTTCGAAATCGCGAGCTTACAAATTTGTTTACGTTGAGCGGTCGCGCATTGTATGTGAGTACAATATTATATTATTATATTTAATCGGCAATGCGGATACGTACAAAAAGTTGCCGGGTGAGGTCGTGGATCGTCCTTGACCACAATGCACAGCTGACGCAAGGAATGTTCGTAAAACACCCATTACAAAAATATTATTATATTAAACCGCTAATTTCTGCTTAACGAACGTCTGTTCACGATTTGAATATTTTCAAGACTATAGCTGGCGTGTGTTCGAAGGTACCTTTACAATTTTTAACCGAACAATAACAACAATAACAACGAATGCACTGCATTCACCGTACACACTACGCGCAGTGAAAAACGCGTATGTATCGCATTTCAAAAATATATTCTTCACATATTATTATGCGTCATAATTGTATTATATTATATATAATCGTATCATACGCGATGCGAAATTAAAACGTAAAATTGTGTCACAATATGTGCCTATATATAGGTACGAGTCAAAATATATAATATGAAACAGATACGATACATATTATACACAACAAACGATATATTGTCCACCGGTGCTGCACAGTAGTACCTATATAGATACGTCACATGTTTATATTATTATTGCTATTGCACCTGCGTATATGTTTAGGTATGTCAGTGAAATCGAATACAATATAATATATTATATATATCATATATGTATATATAGGTTACGATGTATGGGTACATCTTGTTACGATCCGAACGTACGTCTTCTCGGGCCCGCCATCAATTTCATCGACTCGCGAATTCCGATATCAAAAGTCGCTCCACAGTGTACCTTAATAATAAATACATTTAATCTACAACGATCCTCAGTACCTATTATATACGCATATAATAATACATACCTTTTAAGGTAAATCCGCGAAACGCTCGACGAGCTCTGTGACATCCGTCTCTTTCTCTCGCATTTCCCGCGATGAGGTGTCTCATTTGCCCACTGCTTTCTATATATTATACGCACGCAGTCGATGCGGTTTTTTTTTATGGCGGACGCCGCTGCCGTACTTCAACGCGTATTACGGCGACGACCCATTTGTTTTAACACGTTTTGAAAACAATGAATGATTAGTTCCCCGGATGATGGTACATTATACGCACATCAATATGATGTATATATATATAATATATAATATATATAATATAATATATTGATTTCTAATCAAAGAGCTATAAGGGGGAGGGTGAAAGAGAAACAATGTGAACTCCGCGGGTGTACACTCTCTCTTTCCTCGAGACTTTGAGAACATGGACCGTCCGCAAACGGACCTCATCGGGCTGTGGATTTTATTAATTTCGCCTTTTTTGAGGATTCCAGTCGTTATTCGTTAGTAACGACGCTGACGTATTTATTTTTGACTTCTATATGACGACGTTTAGGCTTAATAAACGATTTGTGTTTAAACGGCAAGCAAAAAAACCAAAACGTGTATTCTGCTGTCACGTTACGTTATTAGTATTATATGTATATAATATATTATTCGCTAAATTTGTTGAAGTCACTAGAAAAAAAAATGTTTACCAAACCTAACCTATAACCTAAACCAAAAACTTTGTTGTTTTTTATAGTTGTTTGTGGTTTTTTTATACGTTATTTCGTATACGCATAGACGCATAATATAATTACATATTATACTATACAGAACGAATGACACGACATTTTCAGCTGCTAATTAGTTGCAAATAGTCATTAGTCTTTACCCGCGGCTATGCATGTATATCTAATAATTACTGCATGACGTTATGCGCGCGCTATTTTGTACGCCGTAATACTCGTGCGAGCGACGTTATGCGTATTATATTACTACGACGTGACGAGCAGGACTGTGCGATTTTCGAAGATTTATAATTTCAAAATCGACCGGTCATCAAAACTAGGGTGCATGACGGCTATAATTTTCTTGTCCACGATCGTACCCCGCGAGAATTACCGCCGTCACCGCGTCTGTAATGATTTTTGTTACAACGATCGACGTCAGGTGTCGTGGTATATGTACATAATATAATATATTATTATCTAACTGTATATAACAGCGACAGCCGTAAATGGAGTCGTCCACGAGGACACACCGAGCAGCTGTGGCCCGCGCGTCGAAACCGAGAGAAAATGACTCGTGTTTAATATCGGGACAAAAACCAGAACGAGCGAAATACGCGATCTGCATCGAATATGCGATTCAACTTGCATAAATCATAAGAATACGACGTGTAAATGTATGCTGCACAGTCATTTCGACCATAATACACCGCGTGTTGTCGAGAACGTACCTACTGAAATATTCTTGTGCAAAACATAGTTTTTCCTTTTGCAATCCCAAACGTTTCGTACAAATTCCACAATATACTAAATACAGGTGGGGAAAAATGTGAAAAATTGTGTGTGTATGGGGGGGGGAGGGCCTATTATAACCTATTTTGATATACTTATTATATAGTAATCCCTTCCGGAAATACTACGAGCACCAATTTCGTTCAGCGCGTGTAAAAGACAACCACAGATGTATATTATTATATCGTGCTGAGTTTACAGTTTTTTTATTACTTACATACATATATGTTTTTGAAAAACAATTTTCTCGTGCACAAATAATAAGCACGTACGCGAGTTAATCACGGCCGCGAACCCGAACATGTCAATAATCGATGTATTACATAGGTACATGTAAATATGTAATGTGAAATGTCTGAACAATGGGCGCGGCGATTATTCGAGTGGAAAACTATACACTACTTAAATTTAATATATTATGTATACATTTAAACCTACCCAACTATAATATCCAAGCGCAATGTATACAGAGTGATTTTTTATCGTATACGCCGCCAAGCGATATACTGCAATACGAAATGCGAGGAATGCATAACAGATTTTTCTAAAAGCGTACTATTTTAAATTTCCATACCCATAGAGGTTATCACTCGTCGGTGTTTGTACTTAAATTGAAATATGTCGTGTATTTATGAAAGTACCTTCACACTAAAAGTCTGGTACGCGATAAAATAATAACCCTGTATAGGCACGACACTGACGTGCAGGTCGTATTTCTTGGTCAACGGCGGAACTGTGACAACGACCATGGTATAATAACACATAGGTGGTATTATTTATTATTGGGCACGGCCTGTGTGCGCGCGTGGAGAAAATTGCTGGAAAACAAAAGACGAGTAAAACTATTATTATTATACGAAGAGTCGCGCTTGAAAAATGGCAATTCTTAAATTATGCGCTGTAAATACGCAAATCGCAATGCGTGATTATCCGGAACATCTGATCAGTCTTTATAATTATATAATAATATGATGGGTATACCATACCGTATACATGATGGGTCTTATACATTTGAAAATTTGTCAAGTTAACATTTTAATTGCGTAATTCAATATACATATAGGTATACGAAGTGATTAATCAATCATGCTCATCCTCTTCTTTATTTTATAATGGATTTATTTAAATTCCAGTTTTTGGAATTCTTGTATACTTAAGTACCATATTTGATATTTTTATACCATTTACGGAGTGTCTTGTGACTTGTGGCAGTACAAACATACTTTTTTATGAGAATAAAAACACTTTTTAATAGTGTAAATTATTAAGCTCTTGGTTTTTGTTAAAATATCTATTTATTTAAATCAAAATTCAAATGAGTAGGTATAATGTCTGCTTTATTAATATTTGTATATAATAACGATAATACTCTTCAAAAATAGTTTTAAAATAATAATGTATAATAGCTGGTAAATATTGGATCTTGTATTTATGCTCCTAAAATCTCCTTGGACAATATGCAAATTATAAAATGTTTATAGATTAATGTTAGGTAATTCGTAATTGCTAATATGTTCTAATCGCCCCATAGACATATTGCATACTACTAGACAGAGCATGACTGTAGTTCTAGCGTGTTCTGACATGAGTACACTGATCTTGGTGTATAATTTATACTGCACAGTGCACATGCGCAGTAGCATTTTTTGATTTTACAATTAAAGTTGTTATTATATCTGTATAATATATAATTGCAAACTCTCTTTCAAGAGACCTGCACACCACCCACCAGTGCCATTTCCGGATGTTCCGTCAATTTGTTTAATGTCTATGCATTGCCCCCATATTATATCTTCCAAATCTATTATCATG